GCAAGAAGAGACGAGAAAGCAAATGTTCAGAAAAAAGAATACAATACTGAAAAGAAACCGAAACTAAACACAAACGGATACATACACATGACTTTTCAACACACACTCTCTCTCTTACAGTATACGACAAATACAGACGACCGTCGCGTGGCGTGTCGTTCCGACACGTCTTAGTCACATTCGCAACAGTATCTACCTCAAAACATGAGTTTTTGGTTCCATTCTCATCGACGAAACTAAAAGCCCCACTCTCTCTCTGTCACTCTCTCGCCTTCTCTGTTCTCCTTCCCGAAGATCTGTCTTTTTTCGCTCTCTTCTATGGCGGAGTCCCTGGAACCTGGCTCTGTAACTGAGCCTGAGCGCTTAAACCCTGACTCTGATCTATCGTTCAATGGCCGAGTCGAGATAGACACTTCGACACCGTTTGAGTCAGTCAGAGAGGCGGCGAATCGGTTCGGCGGTTTTGGTTTCTGGAAACCTTCTCACAATTATAAACCCCCAGGGGCCTTTCAGGTTTCTCTCTTCTTTAAGCTTTTGTCCTAAAGATTGTGACTTTTAGGGTTTTTCTGCTGTTAATTGACTAGACTTGCCTGGCAATGCTCTTAACTGAAAACGACAAGAAGATATCCGATACAAATTATATGTTTCTCTCTTACTGAATTAAGTGGAGTTGATGCTGATGATACTTGATTTCCTTTTCATGTTTAGCAGTAATGATGAGTAAAGCTTAACACAGTCATGTGGTTTCGATTTTGGTGGTAGGAAAATGTGGAAGGTGATGTCATTAGACTCAAGGCACAAGCTGCTGAGCTACAGAACGTTCTAATCTCTAAAGAACTTGAGACGCTTGAGGTGGTTAAGGAGCTTGAGGCGACTAAAGCCACAGTTAAAGAGCTCAACTTTAAGCTGCATCAGAAGAATGAGGAGGAGAAGGAGTTGAGAGAAGAAGTTCACGGTTGTATCAACCCAACAGGTGTTGTACTAAAGGATTTAAGCATGGCAAAGATGAATCTGTGCAAGAGGACGGTAGATCTCGCGAGTATACGCGGTTCTGTTGAGGTCTTGAACAAGAAACTGCAAGAAGAAAAGGCTGCACTTGAGGAGACCCGCGAGAGACTCATGGAGAAATCTTTGAAGGTGGTGAAGGGTGAAACAGGCGAGAAAGATGCGTCTGGGATGATGAATGAGGTTCAAAGACTCAGTGGTGAAGCTCAAGAGTTCAAGAAAACAGGAGAGAACGCACGAGAGGAGATTGTGAAAGCAAAGGCTGAGATTGAAGATACAAGAGAGAAGATCAATGCGGCTAAGGTAAGGTTGGTTGCTGCAAGAAAGATGAAGGAAGCGGCTAGAGTGGCTGAGACGGTTGCAATCGCAGAGATTAAGGCCGTGACTGTGACTACTACTGAAGACACAGAAGAAGAGGCGAAGAAGCGAGTTGAAGAAGCTAATGTTTCAAAGATGGAGAAAGTAGACGAAGCGGAGCAAGAAGTTGAAACTAGTAAGAAGGCATTGGAGGAAGCTGTGGAGAGAGTGGACACTGCAAATGCTACAAAACTGGAAGCAGAAGAGGCGCTACGTAACCGGCAGTCAGAGAAAGGACAGAGGAGAAGATTATCTTCGTCAGTGAACAACACTGCCAAGTTCAAGAACAGAAGAGAGACTACAGCAACAAAAACAACGCGTTTGATGGATGTAAATGGTCTGCATCTGACATATGATGATGTTGCTGTTGGTTCATCATCTTCGGTACCTGTCTTGAAGGCAACAATGTCAATCGGGCAAATACTCAGCAAGAAGCTACTTGTAGCAGAGGATTCAGATGTGATGAATGTTGCTAGCGAGAGTAAGAAAATGTCATTGGGTCAGATGTTGGCAAAGAGTAGCAGTGATGATGGGACTGCGAGCAAGAAGAGTGAAGGGAAGGAGAATGGGAAGAGATCAGTGACTGGAAAGAGATTTGCTAAGATCGCTATGTTGTTGAAGAAAGAGAGCAAGGTCAAGAACAACAAGAAGAAGACGAAGAAGATAGCTTTGAACTTGAGGTGATACAAAGTGATCTGTGTTTTGAGGACTTCTTGCTTGTGTTTGTTACAAAACATTCTATTAAGAAGTCTAATATATATCTATCCTTACTGTTTAGAGTTTAAGTTACGTAGAACAATGTGTTATGAAATTAACTAAATCTTCATCAACTAATTTAATGGATCAATAAACTAACCACTCTAGTTTTATCAAAACTAATGTATTTATAGCTTAGAACATACTTATAGTTTTCTGAGCTTGACAAAGGCGTTTCTTGTTTGCACCTCAACAATGTTGTGTTCAGATTCTTGTTCAGCTTTCTTTGGCTCTTTTGCCAGACTCATCTGTGATTTTTTTTTTTTCCAATTGATTTGCTTCTCCTGTCTGTGATAGATGAGATCTCTAATATCTAATCCACACGTCTCTAACAAACATGATTTTGGCGGAGGAAAACAATTCAATGCAATTGCAAGTAACATTTTTCCAAAATGGTCCATTACTGTGAGTTAAAAGCCTAACATATATAACAATGTCACTGAGGTTTGAACTGTTATGATGCTTATGATCAAAGACATAGCGATTATAAATGGACTAGTATAGAATCGATACATGGTGTTAAATAACTCATTTTCCATAAAAAGTGTCATTTGAACCTTTTTTGTTATACATAGATTGTTTAAAATTTCAATCCAATTTTGTCTATTTTAACTTTAAATATTGTTTTTTTTTAAAATACATGATTTTATAATTGCATTTTACTATAACAATTAACATTGTTTACATTTAAAAATAGTCTAAAATACAAATGTTAATAAAGTATTTATTACATTAAAATAAATTTAAATAAAATTATTAAATGACCAAATTATTTTAAATATTGATATTTAGTGTGGAAATGATGAAAAGAATATTTTTATGAAGCAAAAAATTTATACTCTTAGGATTTGCTATGAAAAAAAAACATTAATATATATATATATGTGCAAATGATTTAGCTATATTTATGCACATTATTTAGCTTAACCAATTTGTATACATCATAATCATAAAACTCAAATAGTGAATTCATCAAAATTGGAAAATAAAAGAAAATAGCAAGATCCAAAAAAAAAAAAAAAAATAGTCACGCGTATATTGTCGGTGACCCGTAGCTAGGAAGGAAAGAGGAACGTCAACAATCTCCTCTCCCATATATATTCTCTTCCCTCTCTTTAATTACTTGTCACGTTTCAATCCTCTAATCTTTAAAACTCCTCTCTCAGATCTGCCAAACAAACAAACAACAATGACTTCCACATCCCCTCCCACCCTCCCAATCACCACCCCACAAACCGTCCCCTCGGCCGTCGAATCCCAACCCCCCGCAATCGCCACCCCCGCCTTCCGCGCCTTCCTCAACCGCATCTCCGAAACCGTCACCAACGGCCTCTCCCAGCGCCGTCCCTGGTCCGAGCTCGCCGACCGCTCCGCCCTCTCCAAACCCGACTCCATCTCCGACGCCGCCCTCCGCATCCGCAAGAACTACTCCTACTTCAAGGTCAACTACCTCGCCGTCGCCACCGCCATCGTCGGCTTCTCCCTCGTCACCCACCCCTTCTCCCTCCTCTTCCTCCTCTGCCTCCTCGCCTCGTGGCTATTCCTCTACCTCTTCCGCCCCTCCGATCAGCCGATCGTGGTCCTGGGGAGGACGTTCTCGGATCGGGAGACGCTCGGGTGCTTGATCTTGTTCAGTGTGTTTGTGGTGTTTTTGACGGACGTTGGATCTGTGCTTGTGTCGGCGGTTATGGTTGGTGTGGCGTTGGTTTGTGCGCATGGCGCGTTTAGGGCTCCTGAGGATCTTTTCTTGGATGAGCAGGAGACGGCTTCTACTGGTTTTCTGTCGTTCCTTGGTGGTGCTGCGTCTTCCGCTGCGCCTGCTGTTGTTGCCGCTCGCGGGTGATGATGATGACAATGCGGGTTCGTGATCGGGTCAGATCTACACTATCACCGCCTTGGTGTATCTTTTCGTTTTTTTACTATTTCGAAAGATCTTTTCAATATGATTCGTTTGTTCAATCGATATATTTTAGGGTTTTATAGATCTGGAAATGATAAACGTGGAAAGTTGTGAGATCTGCATTAATGTTTTGTTCTCTTGATCTGGCATTTATATATATGTTTTACTTACATCTTTTAGCTTCTTGAACCTGAGTCTAATTGTTGTTGGAAGAGTTTGGATCTGTTTAAGATCTAAAGCTTGTGTTCTTGTTTGACATGTTTATTGGATCGTGTCACTATGCATGTGTAATAAAAAAATAAAATAGAAATGACCCAAACTTGGATGCATCTGTACGCAAATGATCTTGTGCAAAGTTCACGTTTTTGAGACGCATCAAAACTTAGAAACAATACAAGAGATGCTAAAAGAAGGGTCGTTAAGTTGTTTCGTTCACTGATTACCAAGTTCTAACACCTGACCAGAGCATGTGATTTTTAAATAAAAAAATTTGCAAAATTCACAGCCAGTGAAAATGCTTCCCGATGAGAAGAGTAGTTTCTTTATATATTTGTGTGGATTAACCACGAAGGGTTGACTTGAGATCTCCACGCGCATGTTATGTGTTTTCTTGCCTTAATTGGGTTGCGTTTATTTTGAAAGAGAAATGTGCTAACTAACGCAGGTTTTGGGTTCGAGTAGATTGAGATGCACAAAAAAGACCCTAATGTTGGGGACTAGGAAGAGTTCGATCGATGTTAAATCTTCAATTGCATTTAACGATACTTTTAACAAATTTGGCCGTGTATAAGTTTATGAGTTTGGGAAAAAGGCAAGTCTATATCATAAAAGTGGAACATGTCAAATTGTTAGCTTGTGACATAAACAAAACTCTTAAAAAGGAAGCTCTGTTTAAAGTGAATTGCTACCAAGATTCATATTATTAGGTGACAATCCACCTTCATTGATTGTTAGGGATACACGCCACTAATAAGTTATCTTCCACCAAACAATTATGTCTTAGTCGCAAAGAAATCGATATGTCACACAATTTCCAAAACTGTATTAGAGTCTCATCATTTTTCTTCAACAAAGAAAAGAAGATGCCAGTTTAGAGTGGATTGTTACCAAAAATATATACAGTTAGATAATATTTTCATTCAGGATTCCACGAAAATTCAGTCTTTGTTGCAAAAGCAATCTAACACTAATCTATAACCTGATAAAGGAAAACAACTAACATATTCAGTAGCCTTACATGTTTAAAACAGAGCTCCCCTGCTTCTGTAGAATCATCTACAAAACGAACAAGAGCGGCTGAGCCAGTGGACGTGACGTTACATAAGATGGGTGAAAGAGGAGGAGAAGATTCGTAGGGTTTAAGAAAAAAAGGTTCGAAGAGAAGTTGTATGAGTGGAAAAGGCGCACCAGAGAATCAAGTTTGCCGGTTTTGAGGCGTTGGACAAAGAGTCAAAGAGTATGGGATAAATGGGAAACTCAAAACGTGGCAAGCGACTTTGGCTTGGAACGGTCAATACTGCAGCCGAAGCCGCCTTGGCTTACGACAGAGCTGCTAGTGCCATGTATGAGGCAGCAAGTTCAAGAAGCTATTGGTTTTGGATACTTACAACGTATTTGAAAACCGGTAACGTTCAAGACAATACTTATAATCATGATTCTATGACTGGTAACGAGATAATGAAGTCGTTGGTTTACTCAGCAGTAAAACCAGAGGAATATAACACTTTTGATCGAATCAAATTGGATAACGGATTAATGTACAATGAATCCAGTTATTACCAAGGACGTGGATTCGATCCATATCAATTATACTGTAAAACTATAGCTTTTACATTGTCAAGTTCACTTTATTTCATACCCCAAAAATGTTACACACGCGCACTCATTCTGGCGTCTCTTGAGCTGACCACAGCATTTTCCATGGACCGGTTCTTGTCCCCAATCTGAAAAAAACATGACAGCAACATCTTTTAACAATATAGTTGTTTTGACGTAGTTGAAAACTAGAATGGTCTTTTTGTTTATATACCTCCAGGCTCCGGCGACTAACCGCAACGCCATGAAGAGGAACAAACCCGTCCAAATCCCGGCGAGGCCATATGTTGGTGCAGCCACAAGCATGACCAAGGAAGATATGAATCCGACAATCACCTGTTCCCAAAACAATAACTAATCAGAACCAAACTTTTGTAGGGGTGTAAAGGGAGAATCAAACACTCCAACTGATGAAGAAGAAAGCGAGACCATAGAGTAAGCAGCAAATCCAAAGTCAGAGACTCCATAATAAAGCCCATCAAGAACAAACGCTATAGCATTCACCGGTTGAGATCCAGCCACAAACTGCATGCATGCAAACAACATTGTTTAGAAACATTCAAACTTGTTGTCTTAAGACTACCCTTTGAAAAGTTTTAGGAGAGTATAAGAAAAGATCTTACTAAGGTCCCTGACAAAGCAATCGTCAGAACTTCTGAATCTGTTGTAAATAAGCTCGAAAATGGTTCGAATCCGATGAATAAAACAGCAGCCAAACCAGTTCCAGTTGCTAAACCTACCTGCTCAAGATGAATCACGCAAAAAACCGTTTCAAGTTTTAAATAGTATTAGACTGGAAACACATAAACAAGGGAGCTAGGGAATACGAACTTGAAGGACTCCGAAAAGAACTTCCCGAGCTTGTTTGTACTCTCCTTGAGAGAAGCTGGTTGCAAGAAGACTCTGAATCAAGGGGTAGAAGATTCAAGTGAATACTTTTCCACAATACATAAATGATGTATCTTATTGAGTTAAGTTGCAAAAAAGATGATAGACCTGTGCAGCAATGGCTAAAGCATCGGTGAGTAAAGAGACAGCCAACCAGATCTCCAAGCAGATTTGATGACCAGCCATTTGAGTAGGTCCCTTTTGAGCCGCTAACGAAGTAGCCAACGTGAATGGCACAAGCAGTGCCACCGTTCTACCAATCAGAAGCCCACCTAAGCATGAACCAATACATTAGCATTCTGAATCGGTTAAAGAAACTCAAACAATTTGCGGAGGTACCTGATTTGAGGTACTGGTTGGCTCTTCCCACTTGGATTTGAGGAGAAAGCAAAACCACATTCTCATTCAACTTCCACAGAAGAATAAACGCAATCAAGTATCTGTAGAAAGTGAGAGAACAGTAAGAAGAGACAAATCAAGACAAAGGTAGTTAAGAAAACAAGTCTATAAAGCATCAAAAGTTTACCACATTTTTTGACGTACTCAGAAATCACAGTAGCAGCCGCAGCACCAGAGATACCAAAACCAAGAACAAATATCAGAATAGGATCCAATATCGCATTAAGCACGTTCCCAGCAACTGTCCATACCAAAGTTAACCATATCAGAAACATGTATGCAAACTACAAACAATTGGTGATTATGCAAACAAACATGCATATATACGAGAAAAGATGAATGTTGCAATACTTGCCAACGGCATATAGAGGTGTTGTAGTGTCCTTGAAACCTCGGAAAGCTCCTTGCGCAGCCAATGCAACTACAATTGGAGGTGCACCATACGCCCTAAGTCTTAAGAACTGCTCTGCTGGTATTCTCATCGGTGAATCCTGAAAAGGAGATTACAACCCAACTTACAAAACTGCAAATATAGGTAGTTTTGTAGTTTACAAATGAGTCAAGACTCAAGAGTGAACATACAAAAGGTATAGCCATGATATCCATCAAGTAATCAGATCCGAGAGAGAGAGCAATCGCCTCAGCGATACCAACACCAGCTGCAAGAACCAATGACGTTGAAACAGAAGGCAACACTTTCTTTCCTTTCAACACCAAACAACAGATTCAAAGTCAGAAAACAAAACATAACATCAATCTCTAACTAAGTACATCAAAACACTACTTGTTTCTGTAAAATCGTTATCATCCTTAGCTGCAATGGCCTGCTCTTCCGCGACAAACGATGTAGTGACATTAAGCAAAGGAACATTGAAGAGCTTAGACACCAAGTTGAATACAGAAACCGAGACTCCTACTGCAGCTAACTCTGCAGAACCTGTCATATTACATTTTAATAGCAATGTTAAATGCAAAAAAGGTTGAAACATTTTGAAACTGAAAACTGACAAGAACATGTTAAAAGACTTTAGTCTTTACCAATATGCCCGACAAAAGCTGTGTCGACAAGTGATGTTATAGGATCAGCGGCCAACGCTAAAGCCGCCGGTAATGCAATCGACATGATCTCCATTCCAATATTACCAATCCTGAAACCAACAAAACAAGAAATTAACTTCTTTAACAAGAAATTGAAATTAACTTCTTTATTTTATTTTTTTGCATTAACTTAAACAAGAATATAGAAGCCTACCCATGTTCCGGTTTACGATCAGGATCCGGTTCGGGAGATTCCACTAGATTTTTCTGTTTCGCCGGTGGACGAGAGGGACTTTTTGAAGAACCGGCGACGGCGGGAGATTCATCCCGTTGCGAAGATTTAAGGAGTATTCTTCTTCGAAACGATGAGTTAGGGCTACGAGGAAGATCGCGAAGTTGGAGAGTTGAGGATGGTCGGAGGGCGGAGAGAGAGAGGAAGGTCGCGACCGCCGCCATTACGGAGAGAGAGAAGACAGAAAGTCTCGGCGGAGGGGAAGAAAGAGAACCGCATGTTCTTTATCTTATACTACTGTAGTAACTGATTAAACGGTCGGATGAGAGAAGTTTGATAAAAAAAAAAAAAGAGTTTGAAAGTATCATTACGCATGGGCCTTTTATGGGCTTTATTGGGCTTTTCAGTTTGGTTCTTACATCTTTCCTTGCGAGTGTGATTTGTGTGTGTAGGTTTTTGCTTCTTGTGTCACTCACTTTATTTTATTTTATTTTATTTTTATCAAAAGTTTATTTACATATAACTTTCTAATCTGAAATCTGAGTCTCTAAACCAAATTTAGATGGTTTTAATTTGGATAATTGGGATATCGTTAAGATATGTGATCGTTCTCTTTGTGTGTTACTCATATCACTTTTGTTAACCTATTCAGATAGATAGGGGCGAAACTAAGAAATTTTTGTAGTGGGACATTAATGGATGCACAGAACTGAATATTTATGAATTTACATACTAAACTTCAATATTTTGATAATTCTATGGGTGTACATGCCCCTTTAGTTATATGGCCTGCCTTTGCCCCTGCAGAGAGACAATGTGCAGTTCAAATTCTATGTTTCAACCTAGACATTGAACTCAAATCTACAAATCCTAAAATTTGAGACCACAAAGACCAACAAAACATAGGGAGCTGAAAACAAAGAAGATGATAAGAGAGGATCTTGGGTCCAAAAACATACCTTCCCGATCACTAGTTTAAACAAGACATGCTTAATGCCTAATTTTTGGTCTGGTCTATTTTGTAGTGGTTCATTATTGCGTGGAGGTGGAGGCATATTTTACTTTCTTCTATTTATGTTACCTCTTTATTATCCAATCAACATTTACCGGAAAAACATTTACAAAAACATTTACTAAATGCACATGTTCTTCAAATACTCTAGGTTCAATTATAAATGATATACTTAATTTATTTGATAATAGTAAAAATTATGTTATATCCAAATATTTTAATATAAATTTTAAATTTTTGTAAATAATAATATTTCAAATATAAAATATAATATAATTTAGAAAATGAATGTTTTTATTTGTAATAGCAAACAGATTATTAATATTATATATATATATTATTTTAAATAAATATATTATATACTATGATAACTTTTAATTGTATACTGTTACAGTTCTACCAATCTTATTATTAAAAATTTTAATGAAAATATACACCTTCTACAGCATATTGTTAAAGTTTTATCATCTACTATACCAATCGAGGTCGTAGCATGCATTAAGTTCACTTGCATAATGCACATACATTCATTTCTTTTTATATTTGTAGCCATGTGACAATTTTTAGTTAGTATAAGTAGGGGAAACAATCCTAATCAGTTTAGGTTGGGAAACAAATTAACAAAATAGAATATTGAATATTTATATGGATTTCCCCATAATGCGTTTTCACAATAAAAAAGATTTCGAATGGAAAAAATAGATTATGCGCTTCAAACGGAACAATAATGAAGCGAGAGGATCTAGCAGTGCAAGTATGGATCAAACGGTGAAAGTATGGATCAAGCGATCTAAAATATATGTTTGCATATTGGAAATAAATAAAAAGAGGTTTAAAATATTTTAAATTTTAGATTAATTTATAAATTTTATATTACTATTTTTATAATCAAACTTGTATCACTTTTTCTAATTAAATTTAGAAAACTTAGAAATACTAATTTTTGTGTTCACTAAATATATGTTGTAAATATATTCTCACTAAATTTAGAAAATATATTGTCATAGCTATTTAAAACTATCTTAGTTTTTTTAAAAGTAGGCTTTTATATTAATTTTAAAAATTATTCAATTATATTCACAAAAACTAAATTGAAAACTAAATTAATTATAATATTTACAACTGGTGAATAAAATTTAATTTGAATTAAAATCAATTAAATTAGTTAGTTCAAACAAAGTTTTCAAATAGTTAGCATCTAATAGTTATTTTAGAAACATAAAATTCAATAATGACATTATGAAAAATCAAAATAGAAAAAAAAATGCCCAAAAACACTCTACAATTGTTATGTTTTTACTTTTTTTTTTTCTGTTATGTTGTTACTGTATATAATTGTTATGTTGTTACTGTATATAATGATTATTTGATTTTGTATTCAAATTTGAACTGTTTGTGATTATTGATATTGGGGATGATTGATTGGGTTATATCTCTTTACTTTGGTTTTATTTATTTTTAAATCATTAAATTATCAAAGTTACTGTTATTTAAAATATGATATGTAAATAGCATTTTTAAAATTAAAGCCTACATCAAGTTTTAAAAGTTTTTATCAATCACGCTTTAACTTTATTTTTAAAACTACAGCAAAAACAAGTTAAGTTATTTTTTTCTTATGTATTTTAAGTAAAAAAAAAACTAAAGCTTTCTTTTATAGGTCGTAGAATCTGTAAAATAGAAAAAATTATCTATAATATCAAATAAAATCATAATTAAAAATACCTGTATATATTTAATATAAGTTTGGGTGTTTTAAAATTATTAAATATTTTAAATTACATAAATGGCATTTACATATCATATTTTAAATAACAGTAGACTTTGATAATTTACAAAAAAAAAATAATATAAACTATTTAATTGATAAAAAATTATATATACATCATTTATTTCATATGTCTTATTTTAAAATATCTACAACATAAAACTTACAATTACAACAAATTTAACTCTAGTAAAATTCTCTACAAAAAAATTACAACAATAACTTTATAGTTATAATTAATTTACCTACAACTAAATTTTTAGAGTTACACAAATTGTTGAACGGAGAAACAGAAAGTGGACTATACATCCACGTGTTATACGCTTTTCCCCCGTTCCGCAATCGAAGCCATAATAGTATCTTATGAGAATATATATATATATATATATATATATATATATATATATATATATATATATATATATACACATATTAATATAAAGATCAACAACGTTTTTACCATTTAGCATAGTTAAATTTAATAGTATGCCTTCAAAAATCATAGAGAACTTAATTATGTTTAGAAAAATCATAGGGGACACGAGTAAGGCAGAGAATTGAAGCCACCCTTTATTTCTTATCGTAAATTGGGCAAATGTGGGAGCGTTCGTTAAAAGAAATAATAGAGATTGCGACGCCGTGCAGCATAAGCAGAGCAGCTTTACATGACTTGCGGTCCCAGTAAATTGTACTGAAGAAGACCTATCCTTTTGACTTCGTTTACTCTTCCAATGCCTGATTATGCACGTTAATATACAGCAAAAAAATCTATACCAATATTGGAAATATCATATCACTTTTTTTTTTATGAAGCAATATCATTTCACATATTAACATTGTAACCATAGGATATTATTGCATCACAAATAACACCTAATTAAATGCACCATAACTCTTATTTAACTCCCCCCCCCTTAAAACAGTACTGCTTATCTCGTATTCAACTTCATCAATATGTTGTCAGGTAATTAATTATATGCTAAGATCTATTTCTCCTTTGTATGTTTTATAAAATAAAATCTGTAATATCATTGATTACCTTAATTTGACGAATTTTATTATAACATTATTCGTTTTTTTATAACTCTGATTTGTTATGACATTAGACTTATGAGAAAAATTATATAAACTACTCAATAACCGATAATACTATTTGTCTTATAAAGATCTACGTCTAATTGCATTATTTGAGCCGTCCTATGTAAATCCAGTCTTCATTAGAATTACTTGCACTATGTTGAAGATTTCTTGTAAACTTTTATCTCCATAATCTTTATTAATAAATCCTTATTTCCGGAACTCGAAAAAAAAGAGATATAATTGGTGGTACCGATTTGAACTCTAACCTACCTATTAGTATTATAGGTTATAACCGGTTCCGTGTTGGTTATCAGCTTTAGTTTAGTTTCAAATGTATTTAAGCACTATCGTGTGCACAAAGTTTATGCTTAATAATGAATGAGTTCAATGATTATATTAGTAAGTTTAGTAAATGATTTAGTTAGATTTCTTAAAATTACTAATTCATCTTTTTCTTAATTTCTATAATATCTTCATGCATATTTTCTTCCTTTTTTCTTATATCAAGTCTTCTATCTCGAGCCAATAGTAATAAGTAGAAACATTTCACAGATTCGTTTTCCCCCAAAGTAAAAAATGCTACCGAAAATAGAGATGATATCTCTTTCTTTTTTCTTGATCAAATTTGGCTGTGACTAATATCTCTATCACTGGTTCATCCATAATTATATATGATAATGATTTAGTATGATACTTGGAAACGCTTTTTATTAATCGAAAGTCCCATTAATTAATGAACTCTTTCAGACTGTATAATATACTGTACATGTGGTTACCTAACGTTTGCTAAAAAAAAGTCACTGGACTCACAAGACAAACCAAATAGTTGGCAAGTATTAAACGAGAGAGGTGTATAATTTGTTCATATAGAGAACAACTATTTAGTTTTACTAGGTTTATTCAACATGATAAAAAAAAGTTTAAAAGTTTCAAAAAAAGACAATATAAACAATGTCCAACATGATAATATAAAACATGATAACATCATTTTAAAATATAGTGAAAAGACTGAAAGGGAAACCTATGAGGAAAATAAATGTAACTGTGTATATGCATGTTAAGTCCACGTGGTTCATGCAAGAGAGCATATATGTTCCCCACTTAGCCTGGCCCCAACCACAGGCACAAGCACCACAAAATAAGTAAAACCCAAAAACATGGTTAATGTGAGGTTCTTAAAAGAGAAATTCACTCAAATAGTCATTTTTTAAAAAAATTTATCATAAAAATAGACCTCAAAAAATAAAATGACCAAAATAACATTTTTTTATTTTGAAAATTTTAAGTTTTTTTATTTTTTTTTAAATTCGAAACCCTATATCCAAAACTCCACTCATTAACTCTAAACAAAAGACCTAAATTAGTTAACCTAAGGGGTATAAATGTAT